AAGAAACCTGCCCGGCACGACAAAAGTACATGTCAGATCTGATATTGCTCATTTCGTGGACATCACGAGCTATAGGTCGATGTTGGGTCATGAGGATTCCAACGCGGCAGACAGCGCCAATTACTCTCTCCTTGTTATGTCCCTATCATAAACTACTTCCGAAGAAACAATGAGGGCGAACGTCACGCTATATGTAGGCAAGGTCTCTGAAACGCAACTCGCTTTTCTCGCTGCACGCACACCTGTTTTGAAGCTTGAGAGCGTGTAACCTTGACAAAAGTCTATAATGGTCACCTGAAAAGAGTCCTTAAAAGGGGAGAGGGGTGCAGGGATCTGGGGTGTGTTTCTGAGACCATATTTATACAAACTTAAGCACCACGTCTGCAGAGCCTACACAAGCGTCTCCACGTTCTTTACTCTCGGCATGTTATTGATTATATTATTGTTTGCTTGCCTATTACGTTGTTGGGCTATGGGTGGTTGGCGGGTGTTCTGGTGCGGTTTGAATCCTTACTTCCTTTCAAACTCATATCGTCCTGATCGCTCTTTCTTTTTTGTGTTTGTTACTCTCTTGTTGCACCTCTAACCTTCAGTACTTATATAACCGTATCATGCTGCAAATGCCGTAAACATTATTATTATTAGATTCCCTATTACATTTCAAATAAGAAGCATTGTTGCTGTAGCTGGTTTTGTTGTTGTTGGGTTTTTTTTTCAAATTTCTAAATCAGTCACCTCTGTTACTGACGTTTATACCACTTTGAATGCTTTTGATATTGTTGTTATTTCTTTGATTAATCTGTTACTGTTAGTCGTGTTCTTGTTCTTTGTATTGCAATAACAACACAACAAAAATAACAATAACAACAACAGCAGCAATAACCACATTAACAACAACACTGGAAAAAACAACGACTACAATAACCATAGCAACAACAGCAACAACAACAACAATAACAATATCAACAAATACCACACCAACATCAACATCAACAACAACTACAACACTAACAAAAACAATTATAATAATAATACTACTACTACTACTACTACTACTACTACTACTACTACTACTACTACTACTAATACTAATACTAATACTAATAATAATAATAATAATAATAATAATAATAATAATAGAAGTAACAACAACAACATCAACAACAACAACAACAATAACCATAACTGCAACAGCAGCAACAGCAACGACAACAACATCTGTTCAATACACATGGAGGAAAGTGAGAAAATAATATAAACGTCGTACATCTGAGTTCGATTTCTGACGCTGACAGAGATGAGATGTTCATGAAGAAGAGCTCAGCTCACCACCACCACATGTGTCTCACTCACCACATGCCGCCCTAGACACCGACTCACGTTAGCTTTTAGCAGCTCGCGCCTGACGCAAATGGGCCACATCTACCTGGCTTGCGCCAGTCTTGACACATAATCTACATGTTTGTCTTCGATTGCCACCATGTTGCTGCCGCTTGCTGGCGCAGAAGGAGAAGTGGAGTATGTACAGCCAAATGATTTACCGCTAGCTCCGCTCTCGTTCTTTGCAGGTCTTCCTGTACGGTGTCCAACCTGCTCTGACGGCCACCTGTATAAGACAAGCACCTGAACAAACGCTAGGTCCTATTTCCCCCCCTTGCATAATTTTTTACTTTGTAATGACACTGTGTAAGACGGCCATCGGTCTAAGATCATATTTAGCCATCCTTGATAATGTTCTCTAGGGTTTTTTTTTCTTTATTTCTTAACACTGCCGTCTAAAATCTGTTTCATCTCTTTACCTTTCACGCAAATGAGTTTGATTAGATTCTTTCCTTGGAATAGTTTCTGTGCGCATCTCCGTCTTTCAGTTGGTATAGTCTCCAACTCACTAATTGGTCACACATCTTTCCTTTCTCTTTTTTATTTCTTCTTTTCTCCGTTATCCTGTCTTGAATTGTTCTTGTGCTACATTATGACCATTATTGTGTTGTTGTACTTCTACGTACTCTAACAAAACGCTGAGTAGCCTCTTCTCTTTACGACGTTGTCAAAGGGGAACAGCCCTAATACATGTACTTGTAAAGCTCTACTAGATCGTTTTGTTACTACGATTTACCAGTACCTAGTCGTGTGGTGTAATGAAAGGCAGCGGTAAATCGACGCAGTGTGCATAAAGAGTTTGGAGGACTCTCAATTTCTGGCAAGGTTGTTGAAAATCTGCCATCGGATCACGTTTTTTTGGTAGACTTGTTTTTGGCGAGAGCATGCATTCTGTATTTTGAGGGTGCCAGTGGTACTCCTCCACCCCAACCCCATCTTTCTCTCTTTCTCTCTCTCTCTCTCTCTC